AAGCTGTGATCACTCTATGTAACCTCTTCTTTTCCCTAATAAATTTTTCAAAAATTCTTAGCAGCAATCACTGTCACTATACGACGGGTTAGCGTAGATAATAATGTGACTTCCACATAAGGTGTGGTAGTTAGGGTTGTAGAATTATGGTCTACTTCGATATTAGTACTACTCTAATAATACATCTAATCCTAAAGTTGTAAATTTGTCATGATGTAACTGCCTAATCTATAAGATCTTACGTGTATGTCACACCATTATCTACCCTGACTTATTCGTATGGCAACAATCATCAATATATGATGAAGAACAGATTTAATCTGGAGATAAAACATTATGCTTGATATCGATAAAAGACTATTACATAAGTTGGATCACGCCTGCAAGGCCAAGCCACGCCATTCGACCAACATGAATTAACTGAATTCATTCTTACCTCCTTCTCCACCGTTGGGTTTCGGTCCGTGTTAAATATTGAATACCTATTTTCTCAGTCGTCTCGTGTTCATCTTTGAGGATTGTGTGGTTAGGGTACAATGCCACTACAAGGTAGTAACATCATGGAAAGACTACAACTATAGAATAGGTTAATTATCGTAATAATAAGGAAAAATGCACCTAGTATCAATTGACATTAAAGACTAGATAGACATAATAGTGGTCACTATTTACCGATCAACCAGTTTAAATGTCTCATTCCCATAGGGTCAGTCGATGCCAAATTACCTGTCTTAAGGACCGAAAATATGAAGTTGTGTGATGATGGCCTGAATCCGAAAAGCTACTGAAGATGGCACAGGTATTCAGTGTTGGACAACGCTTTTACCAGCAACACCTTCTAATGTAGTTCGTACCCACCAAGAGAAATCAAAAGACAGAGTCAAGGAGATCAGAAGAGTGTATTTAGCGATAACCAATATATCGGAATTCTCTGATCTAATCTGGCTAGCGATTGCGGTAGATGTTGAGCACAGCGTTACCACACGTGATCTGGTGCGGATGCATGACCGAGCGCCTTCAGCTAGATGAGTCCACTGAAACATATGGTCAGGATCCAATGTTGAGAACTTAAAGAGCTATTTATTTTGCGGATTTATTTACCGCTACACTAAATCAGTCTTTTCATGATCTCAGGCACGCCATGCTTACGAGTGTCAACTAGCAAGAAATGTGAAGTAAGACTTACGTGCAGAATATCTTGCACCATACACAATCAAGACAGAGGGACTGTGAACTGAGAAGTTATCTTGTTGTGGTAATACTGACTTCAACAACTTTAGGAAATTCACAGATACCTCACAAACTACGTTGCTTATCTATTTTCACTTTATTAAAATTCACGGTAAATTTCAAAAGATTGGCAAAAAAATATATCCTTTCCTCAATTGTCTGGAGAAAATTTGGAGAGCAAATGAACAGATACGAAGAGGTAGTGTTTCATTCAGTGTTGTGAAAGATGTTGAAAAAATTGATGCTTAACGACTTAGATATCCTTATCTTTCCAGGTAGGCTAGATACAGAATGTTGGGAGGATAAGCCTTGAAATTCAGGATTTGAAATAGCGAGGTTTAGAAGATTAACTCTGTAGATGTAATCTCTCAAAAACCTTGACTGTGCACTCTGTGAACGAACGAAGTCACGAATGAACTTATAAGAGGATCAACATCGAACTTGGTCGCTTCCGTGGAAACATGTACTAAAACACGCATGACTTTCAAATTATTGGTTTTATGTTTACTTCTCGTTTATATAATATTGAAAGGCTTTAAGGTGGTTGTAGTAGGTTTGTTGCCATGAGGGTGAATTCGTGGAGAGTGAATGCCTTATTTCAATTAGGAAAACTATGCAACACTCAATATCGGATAAAAGGGACATAGTGCCAAGAAAAAATAAGGAAGTAGATAAATATATTAACTATAATGTTTCGATCCTAATAGGAGATTTTCAGCTTAATTTCATTCACTTAAATTGGGCTGCTACAAACTCACGTCTCACACGGTAGTTATGCTAGTTTTGACACGGTTTTCAATGTACAAGGAGTAGGTATAACGTTATACACCGAAGGGAGCTTACGACTGCAATCAAGTATGTCGAGGGCAAGCGATAGTGAAACAACAAAATCTATTAGTTATTGTGGTTATGACTTGACAATAATTTTGATAACACGTCGTCATCCAAGTTATACTGAGGATAAATCCTCTAGGTCAGATCTACACGTGGATTAATTCAGTTAATTATCTGATTGTAGGGGATCGAAACGTGTCAAACATCAAGATAATAGGACCCGAAATTTAAGTCGTTGTTATCACTATTATCCGGAATTAAGCTTACTCTATTTTACAGTGCATTATGAAATCAGCTATTGGATTTGATCCTTACTTATATTCATAACTGCGATTATGTTACTGAGTTTCAATTCTCACACTCGTTAACAACTAGAGATCAAATCTTTTGTACTGTAACTCACCAAATTACGTGATCTGTGTCGATGATCTGTGGCTTACTCCAGTTGGTCAGGAATAACATGATCATCCCTAGCTCACTTTGAAATCACACCTCGAGGTTAGCATCAAACGTGAATTACTTTTCCGTCATGTCCAGGTACCATGGCTACTTTGATGCTTGTATAATTAAAACGTAACGTTACTATAGAAATGTGTTTTTAAGAATAGGTACAAGAACAGCGTGTGACCACCGCTGCATGGGCAAGTTCATAGCGTGCAACTGAATGATGAACGTTGGTTTTACTTGGCCTTAACGAGAATCAGTAAACTATTCGACATTTAGAAACCTGAATATAAAATGATTTGGCTAGGGCCCAGTGACATTTCACTCACCCTAGAGTATTCTTACCAGTATTAAAATATGCGTGACTGTGCTGATCGACCCTGGTCTAAGAATATAAGTTATACAGCTTGGGATAGTTGTCAGTTTTTAGGTGTAAAATCCATGGATTTTAGCAAATCATTCGGTAAGGTATTTCATGTAACACGTAAAAACAAGCCTTCGGATTTTGAAATCAGAAGCACAACACACTGTTGCATCGATAGAGTTCTGTGCAGTATAAGGAAGAGAATCAGAATAAAAAGGCTTAATTCGTAATAGAAATATACCATAATAGCACTCCATAAGATGGTGACTTAGATAATACACAGTCCGTACTCAACTTTAACGCAATGAAAAATCTCTGTAGATTGTTACCATTCTTTTTACATGAAAGCGATGTATGTGTTTGGGGTAAAATACCCGGTGAAATTGAAAGGCTAGACTCCAGAAGGAATTCGGAAAATCTATTGAATAGTTCAAAATTTGATGTCCAGAAAAGACTCCTCCCATCAAAAACATACTATTACGAGCCAGGAATAGCAATAATAAAGAGTTCTTTATCAACAGTACACCACTATCAAAAGTTATGTGACAAAAATTCATGATATGGAAACAGCTGAGTGTCATAAAGTAAAAGTTGCCAAAGAGTCGCATTTCTACGGTCACTTACCAAAGCTTTTGAATTTTCTGACTGATAAACGTTTCAAAGTTTCATAAGCTACCAATATCACATCTAAGAAGCTAGCTTATGTTTAAGTGAATTATAGATCATCAATGTAGATTATCTATGACGAATGATTGGGGGCCTACTAGTGTTAGACGGGAATGGTGTGACAAACCAGCTTCAGTTGAAGTCACAAATCGCGATCAGCACCTTACGTCGATTACCCCATCGACGTATTAAGGTACTATAGATGTTTTGAAGGCTGTACAACACAAAGGACGTTATTACAGAAATATATTATTTTAAGTAGATATTAGCGAAGGTAAGACCACTGCCGTATGGGCCAGTCCATGGCATACGATTAACTGATGCGTGTTGGTCGCCCTTGACACTGACAGGGATCGATGATCGGTTTGATATTCAGTTACCCAACTGCCAGATTATTTACCTAGGGCCTAGTGACATTTCACTGGCCCTACAGGATTTTCAGGTCATGCCAAGATGGTCCAAAAACAGACACTAGGTTGCTAGCAGGAATTTATAATTTTTACATGGGATGACTTTTTTTATTTTACTTGTCGTATTATAGGAGGCCATCTTATGTTAGCTTACCACACATTGGATAACAATCGGAAAGTCAAGACTGCAGCGGGTAAAACTGTCCACTTACAGGTCCTATTCCATGATAGTCTTAATCTGAGGCTTGTGCTATTTCTAATTCTTGTTGATTGCTTTGGATGTTAAGTGTAGGTGTATTGTATGCGCTTACTGAGTCGTCGACTGATCACTTTTTATTCTTCTTTGTTTAAGTTCTCCTCACTCACACACTCTGCATCTCCCAGGAGTACACATACTTCCTTCTGGTTAGATGCGAACCATAACAAGTTACATAATATTTCTCTTATCATCAGAACTAAAGCCTTTTAAAACTATTTCTGAAACGTCTAAAAACTGTTTCTTAATAAGATTATATTTATATTCCGTATTTTCCATTCAGTGGTCAACATCGAGGTCGCTCGTCACCATAAACAGATATCAGCCTCAACGATTATTGCTTTTAACGGAACAGTAGATTTTCCAGGGTGAAAATGCTTAGAAGGTTAGTAGACACTAACTGACCTACTATTACTGAAAACTGAGAGGAAATAAATTGGGCATTGGAAGTGGCCTTTTCAAGTCGATTGTTACGTCCGTAGATTTAGTAGGTCATTACTAAAAATTGCACTATCTGTCACTGATTATTAATTTGCCTTCTTCTACCATCTGCTAGCGATGGATAGAAAAAATGAAAGTAAATGATGGTCAAATGTGAGAAACAGCTATTTGATTTAGAACAATAATGTTCATTGTTGTGTACTCTGTTAATTTATTCACCACCGTATCCAGAAGACTGACGGATTACAAATAAAAAAATGTTAGATTGGTTTGGTAATATTATGAACATGTTGCGTAAATCCTATTTTGTCTTTAAAGGTTGTAGTTAAATAAGGAAATCGGACGATTTGCATTTAAAAAGGTTAGCCAGGTAGAAAAAGAAGTAAAAAACAATTAAAAGTACTACATAATTAGATGAACCTCATCGAAGTCTTGTCATTAAGCTTTGTTGACGAAGTACATGTATACAGCAAGAGTCGGCGTAAACGTTTGAAATGACATGGTCTACAAAATTTTATGTAACAATATTTTGCATGGAATGGATATCTTATAATAATATTATTTAGTATTTAGGAAGCCAGCCAATTATTGAAAATACACCGGAATTAGTGATTTGTACGTAAACGTACGAAGTAACTTATGCTTGAATTTTCTTTTATTTCTGTCCCATGCTTGTTTACTTTACTTCTTGCACTACAAGATGACCTGGCTCTCATGGTCATTTGATAAATCGATTTGATATCTTACTCAGACAAAGAGTCACCTTGAAATCTGGAACACATCACATCTAACCAATAATGTTTGATATAATTCTAACCTACTTCAAATCATTTTGCAAAATCTGTGATTGCCAATACTCAGCTCGCTTTTTGTTCCATCTAGAGTTAAAATTATTTCAAGTTAGTCTGTCATTATGTAAGCCGAAATTAACTTTGCTGACTCACGAAGATCATTCTCAATGATCGGTGATATTCATGTATCCTTAATCATACTTAACAACTGTTGCAACCTACAAATTGATCACGGAATTTTTGATCTCCCAGTACAGCTTCCAATGTACCTGGTTCTACAGGCGTCTGAGATGAAAACTGTGAAGGCCGGGAATCCACGTTTTATATACTTTCTCCTTGACTTTAATGAATGAGATTTTAACGTAAGCCGTCAAATTATTTTTCTGATTAGATAAATCTGCAATGCCTGGCATTGTTTTATCAACATTTTGTTTCAAGGCCTGAAACCTCCGATCATTAAAACGATACAACTTGCTTGTGATGACAAAACTTCAGTTTTCGAAAACCTGATATATATGAATCTATTAAATGGATAGATTGCGATTGTGATAAGATGCCCAAAGATTAAGCCTAATATTCATGTCTTAATTGGTTGGGTAATGCGTAACCTACACCTTAAATATTTGGCCGTGTTTATTTTGTATTCATATTACGTATCTAAGCACATCATTTTATCTCACGAAAATCTAGTCTGGCTAAGGGTCTTTTATTTTTAATCATTTGGAGGCCTTAGTCATTAACAAGATCTCATGAGTAGCCACCACTAGGCCACATCATATCATTGTATTCATCTATCAATCAAAATTTCACTCGTCAATCTTAACAGTCTTAAATTTCGTCCCATTAAATCACCAAACACTTGCGTAATAGATCTATGTAAAACCCCTTCAAAATGTTAATTTATGAGAAATCTACAAAAGTACATTGAACCTTCAACTCCTCGGAAGTGTACACATCAACATTGTGCTTCTTTTTGCTTCTCTGTCAAACGTTTTTGTTGTATGCTATCATCATTTTACCTTATAAACTTTATTGAAAGATACGATAGCATAACATCTTTGGCATTTTACCCGAGGATAGTATTAAATCCAGCACTTGAACCCACAGCTGACTGTAAGTTATATGAAAGGATATGTTATTTTATCACAACTAACCACAACAGTTTAAAACCTTGGATTTTTTCAAAAAGCAGTCAGCATCGGGATTAATCCGACCCGTGATTTCTCCTGACGTCACATCCTCCTTGTATATAAATAATTTTTCGTTTAACAGTTAGTCGCTTGGGTATTCGAGCACATCTTTCCTGTCGATGTCGTTGATAATAACATGGAGTTTCGATTGATGCTGAAGGAAAATGTAATTGTGTTATAAAACTTAAAACCATTACATATGATAACTGGATAAATTCGTTGATAACTCTAACTTGTAAAATGTGCTGCCATGATCTAAAAGTTTGAACCAATATGCAGACTTATTAAACTTAGAACTATTTCTAGCGGGAAACTTCTTGATAAGTGATATCATTGAATGAGCATAGACTTACGTTAGAATGGGATGATAACCTCGTAGTATTACGTTGGCATTAAAATATACTTACAGTGCATGTCCGTCGTAGAAATCCACATTTGTGGCTAACTATTGAATATCTGAAGATACGTATACTTATGGTGATAGAAAACCAGGTTTCAATGCGATTCTGACGGATGTTGTGAGTTACAAGCGATGCTGAAAGTAGGCCTAAGTGTCTCAAAGTTTTAGAGAAATCTTGGTGCTAATTTGACGACTATAGTGTGTAACACCCTCTTGTTCAAGTATTAAGTATACCGTTGAACATAATTTAATAGCAGGTTGTGAATAGTGTTTAGTTTTAAACGAACTTTGCTCCATCTACTTCTGTTTAGTATCATTAGCCTTTACTTAGAGTGTCTCATAACCCCCAAGTATCTGGTGAGTGAGCTAACCTAAAAAGGTTGTTTTAGGCTCTCACCTCAGTACGCGCATAACCTTTGGAAATAGGAACTTACTAGTCATCAGAAATTTCAAGGAAAACTCCCAGACTAGTAGAAATGGCGTGTCTTTTGTTGCGTTGCCCAAATTTTCTAATATGACTCCTGCAAAGTTTCCATAAAACTGGTCTAATCTTTCTCAAAGTTGGAATAGTGAGACTTTTTCTTCAAACGTCTACCTCTAGAGGAAGTGTCAAACAGTTTACATCTCTGTGTACTTTGAGTAGTCCACTTTTCGCTTGAAGTTTGATCTCATTATTTCCCTTTCTCTTAGATTTAAGCCAAATAGTTCAATTTTCCTCTCCCTCAGAAACCAACTTTTTTTTGCAGTTAAAATAAGTTAGAAGAATGGTTTATGTGTGAAAATCCATTTATTTAAACAAATTTTAATAAGTTTACAAAAATACTAAAAACGGTAAGGTATTAGTGACATTCCTATTTTGCAACTGAAAATTATAGTTATTCTCGAATGCAATCTAAAACAAAGTAACAAGTAGCAGTGTAGAGGTGGACTATTTGACGTAAATAGAAATGTCTCATATTTTAAACGGATCACCAACTCATGGATACTTTTACCATTTGTTCCTCATTTGTTTGGATGCAGCACATCCAACTGAATATGTATAAGTATGTTTTAAAAGCATTTTACTTAGAAAATTTTAGATAATAGTTAAGAAACTTCAAAAACATAAACGTATAAATCACATATTGTCATTAAGGAGCATAATTTTCATCAGTGGAATTCTGAAGTGAAATAATAACTGTTGGTTATTGGAAGAGGAGGGAATGTCTTTAAAATCTCGACCACGAAGATATGACACCATGTATTGAGACTTACAGTAACCTTCAACAAAATTGGTGCGTGTATCCAGGAAACGGAAATAAAAAGTCAGTGCAAACTGTTACCTTCATTTTTTCCCTATATCATGAAAGTAATGCAGGTTTACCGTGTCGAAAACTGTCGCAAGACCTTTTTCACTGACACAGTGGTAAAAATCCTGATGTTTATCTGCCTAGTGAATAATGAACCAGTCTTATTTCTTATGTTGTTGTAAAACCTATACCTATGATGTCCCCGTTTGGTAATAGTCCTAAACAAAGTAAACTTGCAAGTTCTGTCTTCATGCTGTAGGCGAAAATACTTCGAATGAATGTTTTTTGGGGATTATTTGTGCGTAGGTTAACGATTTCCAGCTTATGTGTTAAAGAATTCTAAGAAATCTTTAGTTGACAAATTTATTATTCTAGTCTTCTTATCGAAGGTACATGTCCGACTCTCTCAGCTCCTCTTCCGTTGAGAGGGAATCGCTAATGCAATAATTCTGCATCCATCTTATTGAACATGCTACCAAAGCGTGACCGCCTAAAGTGAAATTAGTCTGCATTGGGTAATTACTTAGTATTCATGTTCGTGAATGTTTTATTTACAGTGGTAATCTAATTAAATACACGTTTTATCTTTGCTTTCAGAAACCTAGGTTTCGAATGAATCATAACCAGTTTAAATTCGACTTTCCAATAGAACAAGTTTTGGAAGAATGGAAGACACTAGATGAAAATGAAGACATACCGGCTGAAGATCAGGAGAACGATAACGATGAATCGAATATTCTTAGTCAAGAATCCTTTTTTGCTCCTCACTATAAAGATGGTATTGAATATTTTTCCATAAAAAACCCTGAAAAAGTAAAGCAAGAGTGGCTTGAAGCTAGAAAATTAATTATACCACATATTCAGAACGTTGTAAAGCATCTAGTTCGAGAAAAATTTCAAAAATGATTGAATATATGAGAAATTATTCTTTCCCTACATTTTAATTTTACTATTCACTGTTAATTATGTCATTTGAGTGGGTTTTTGTTATGACCTTGAAGTTGAGGGTTCAAAACTTTTCTCCACCCCGTCGCCAATTGTTATGGCTTTGTATGTCTGGTTTTTCTATCGCACGACTTATCTACCAATCCGAATACGACTTATACGAATCTTCACACTAGGCCAACCAATGACGTTCGACCGGTGTGGGCAGTTTAGCGTCCTTATTGGTCCTATGTCCTACGAGCCCTTCCACTTGAGTCCAGAACAAGATACCAGCTTCCGAATCAGAGCAGATCAGACCAGATCGTTTATTTCAGGCATACTTGGTTTATATATCAATCACACAGACCACAACGTACCATAAAATAGGAAATAATATTTGTACACAAATAAGCCCAAAAAGTGGCTGTGAATGTGGGAGGCAGTAGTTAACAAACTGAACATAACTTAAGAACCGTAAATCGTACAATAATAAATTATAGGCCAAAATAAAGCTTGTCATAAGAGGGATATAAATATACATAATGTAATTGTTGAATAGTTATACAATAAGAATATTTATAGAATATTAGTCCATGAATAGTCCTCGGAAGTTACCTGTAATTTAATCTCCACTCGGATATAACAGTTTTGAATATATATACATAAGAAGAAGAACCTTCTGGATACATTTTTGCTCAGGATCACTTGGTAGTGCTTCATGATTTGATTCTTGACATGTCCCATTCTATATTCATTTCATGTTAGCTGTAGATTTTATGCCTATCATTGCCACCTATATTATAGTTATGTGTTTATTTCACCTTATAACTCGTTTATATCCCGTTTAAACAGTCTTTAGTCGTCAGATGGTTTTTTTCAGTCTTGGTGGTTAAGTGACTCGCTTTCTAATCAGTTGGTTGTTTATTTGGATTTTTCTTGAACTACTTTGGCTTGATTGACTTGGTTGTCTCATTAAATTTCACGCAAATTGTGCCTTTAAGAACAGTATAAGAACTGGCACCTAGTTTGCTTTTCAGAGGTTGTTACTGAATGTGAAATCAGACGCGGTTGTTGTGAGATCACTCATGCTTTTTCAGATCACCGTCTTCAATTTTTGACACTTAAACAGACTAAACAACGGATAAATGTTATTGAAACATTAGAAGGTTTCATTTTGATGTTATTTGTGCTTCAAGAAATTGTGTTCGAGACTCCGACAAAGTAATTTTTAAGGTCCTCACTGTTATGTTTAACCATTATAAGGTCAGGTTTCTTAAAATCTTGGAACGCCGACTTTAGCAGTTTGGATGCAACCTACATATCAACTCAAAAGCTAAGGAAATAGGCTGTCAATCCCTTGCACAGCCAAGTGGAATAAATGGTATCTCCGTTGAATTAAGACATAAAGGTACATTGTCTCTCCCTCGAACTTGGTCCTACAGGCTGTGCAACTCAATTTGCGATGTTATCAGACATATCTCAAAACAATAGCTAACATAGATACTGTTGTATTTCTTGTGAACAGCGAAATGCAACTAACTAAACTAAATTTATATTGATTGTCCTTGATTAAGTTGTATCTACTGACATTTTCATTTGTTTAAGTATCCTCTCTTCCATCCTTCTCTAAATTGTTATCAAATTTTATGTAGTCTATACCCTATTGATTATATCCGAACGTCTTTCTGTCTTAAAATTAAAGTGGAATTTATCACCTTTATTTTTGATGTGAAAAGCTTACGTACGTGTTCTATAAAACTACAGTATAGATATGACCCAAATAAAAAATACTTTCATATTTCTGTTTTAAACTAGTATACGGCGCGCCTTACTAACAGATTTATAATGGCTCAAATATGTTACGGGCATAGTATTTGATTTGTAAACTATTGTGATTGATTATTCAAGACACTTGTTTTGCATATAATCAATGTCTGCACATACTAAATCTGCAATGTGTTCGAAAGCCACGCTTGTTTAGTAGATAACAGTGTTTTCTTTAAGAACATAACGCGTAGCATACAAAAGCAACGGCGAAATTATTTTTTTATGCCAATAATCCGACTTCAATGATCAAATCTAACACGAAATACGTACTATCTCCACATAATTGTTCGAGCTACTCAAAAGGATACATACTCATTCAGATGAGTGAAATCATCTGGATGCTTTAAATTGACTGAAAAGTTCCTGATAAGTGATTCATGTTCGCTCCGATCAGTGCAGCTATGAGAAAATTGTTATCTATTACTTGCTCCCAGCTGAAACAGTAATTTTCCATAAATTCTCTTAAGATTCCATTAGTTCGTGTAGACAAACCTAAAGAACTTGAAAAAGTAAAACAATACTTTCATAGGCGTAGGATAAACACATTCTACTGTTTTACTCTATTAATATGTAACATAAAGTACTTTTCTCGTCAGCACTTACGGTTTCCGGACTATCTTTGTTAAATACTGTGAAAAATGTCGAAAATTCTATGATAAACCCACTACTGAACCCATTCACTTTGAGGTGTAAGTAGTTCTCCTATTGTTTTGTCACTGACTTCAATTCAGAGTAACCCTTCATACGTATACTAACAGATTCCATCAATCTAACTGGACTACCTTTGAAAGAAGAACTAACCAAATATTGACTTTTCGTCATAAACACCCATTTTATCATCTATGATTTCACTACTTGAGATTTAAATCATTCTTCGTTTTTGATGACAACCAAAATAGTCTACCGAGGTTCCGGAACATCCATTTTATCATCTAATGTACAGTGTTATGAACAATAAAGGGATATGACAATTGGCATATTCTAGAGACTCATATCTATTTGATTCACTACTTAACGAAAACACTTCAAATGTTATGTATTTGTAGGGGCTGGTACTATGTCAAACCACATGGGTTATTCTAGCCTCTGAACAGACTGATCTATTCATTCCCCTCAAACCATATTTTTACTTTGTCATTTATTCTCTTATTAATCCTGACGGTCTTTGTATGATCATGTGTTAATTACTTACCCTATTCATTTTTCCGTAATTTATTTTTGCTTGACTGTAAATATCGAGTCATGCTTGATTAAGTTAAGCTGGTTCACCCTCCTCCACTGCGCTACTATGTTTCGTTTCGTCTTGCTTCGCTTCCTTCACTGTTTCTCTGATTGTCTGTTCAGATCAACGATTGTTTGAAATATATGTATGCAAAATCCACTCTCATACTTGACTTATTCAATCCCTTATTCTCTGACGCAAATTAAGTTGATAATTATATACGAGGGTACCTAGCATGTATATTTCGATGACAGTCATCATACGATATAACTGAAGTCAGATATCGGGCCAGTAAAGATTATAATTTATTCAGTTGACGTTATCAAAAAACCCTACTATAAAGGAACATTGATTGGCTGTATTTGAATCCATTTTTAATATGTTTGTTATTAGATTTGAAACTGACGTATGTAATTTATTCAGTAGTGGTACTAATAAATCTCATTGTTAACAATATTTGGGGATGATCTATTGGTTTTTTTTAACTTGGATTTTATCAACTACATGAATATTTTCGATAGTGATAACTGTATTTTAAAGAGCTTTCTTCATATCTATAATTTGACATTAAATTGAAGAATGACTCTGAAAGAATTAGGTCCCACAGTTTACAACAGATTAGATCTAAAGACAAAAAATAGTGTAAAATCTAGCACAAATGTTTATCAGTCTAAGTTAACACCATTTTGTAATACGCTAACAGGGGCAGACAAGGGGATCGTAAACGTTTAGTCATGAGTTAATGTGACAGACTAATAAGAACTGTTGTGTGATTTTGGGGTGCTTAATTGTAACTTCAACTCTGCCTGTAGCTCTTGTAAATTTACTGCCAGCTCCAAGCCCGGGTAAAGGAGGAGGGTTGGGCATGGGGTTAGCGACCCCATCCCGTAGAAAACTAACTCGCTAAAAAACGCTAACCACCATCAAGAAGGTACAAGTACTTATAAATAGCTGTCTACGCAGGATGCTCAACATCCATTAGCCGGATACCATCAGCAACATCCTTCTGTGGGAGAAGATAAATCAGCTTCCAGCTGAAGAGGACATACATTACGCCCTAACTTGGAGTTTTGAAGGGAAGCTGAAAAGAGGAAGGCCAAAGAACACATTACGACCGGAAATAGAAGCAGAGATGAAAAAGACGAATAACAACTGGAAAGGATTGCCCAGGACAGGGTTGGATGGCGAATGTTGGTGAGCGGCCTATGCTCCTTCACGAGGAGTAACAGGCGTCAGTAAGTAATTGTAACTTCGTTGAGCATATTGTATGCATGGATGTTTATTTCCATACAGTGCTAATTACCATTTCTATATTTATTAACAGCTAATAGAGCGAAGACATTTTTCTTCATGGCTCTACGCTATATATCATTTACGATTTACAATGAATTAGTGATATTCACTAGGTATTTGTGTAGCGTATTAGTGGTTATAAAGTAATGTTTTCATATGTGTAGACTTGTCGATTATTTACCGTTAACTTGGAGCACTTTTTAGTTGTGCTCGACTTATGTATATCTGTTATCTATACTCTAATTGATTACCTGTAATTCACACACTAATGACCTTATGCAGTGACTAAGTTACCCACTGTCCACTGATTTGACTTATACAGCTTGCCCTATTTACATTAATTCAATATCCATCATCCTTCGCCCAGTTTGCCTACTCATGTAAATGCCTAAAATATGGATGTCCTAAATACATACCGTATCCAGCTGTTTATTTCTACGCGATTGGTTGACAGAAGATATACAAAGTTAAGGACGAATGTATTTCGTGAACATCGTCATTGATTGATCATGAAGTCAACAATAGAGACGCAGTGATAAACCCGATTTCAGACGAAATATGAACTCAAAAAAACACATGCAGATGACATACTCATCGAATTCGATGCAGACAAAGAATTCGACTCAGCACACATAAATACACTCAAGTCGAATTGTTCAAACTACGTGCCGGTTACTTCTATCCGTTAATTTTGTAAATCATTCATATTATCGTTGTATTATCCGCAAAAGTTGTAGATTTATTATAAGATTACAACAATCAAAGTACTAACTCTTCGGATCATTATATTTATTTAATATTATATATTTATTCACTCCTATTAGTCATTCATTCACTATATCGTTATTGGCGTCACGACCTTCACAAAT